TCGATGTAGCTTCCTATCAAGTTCTAAAAACCAGGATACTACTAACAACAAAAAAAATCCTGAGGAGGGATCAGGAAAATGCTAATTTTTTTTCGCAAACTCCGAGTGAAAATTTTTTTTGATAATATTCCATCATTTGAATCCAACATCAACTTCCATAAGTTTTATCTGGATCCCATACTGAAAAATCCTGGTTACGTCACTGATTCATTAGGATAGATTTAAAATCTTACCAAATGATTTTCACCTGGTAATTTACATACACCAAAATATCGAAAATGTGCCCTTTAAAAATAATTTCATTTAAAATAACAAAAGCAAGAAAACAAATTCGTTTTAATTTACCCTGGTTCTTCATCATGTTTATCTGTATACACAAGATCATCAAGCAGAAAACCTTTGTTGTTTTTTTGGAGGGAGAAGAAAAGAATATGAAAATTTGATTAATAAAATAGTTTTTTTGTTTTTTATTACCATTCGCTTTTAATTTATCAACAAGTGGAAAAAGTAAATGTTCATGTGAAATACCATCTCGATGAGTTATTAATATATCACAATCACCACATGTTGCTTTACCTCGTCGATAAGAACCACAAGTTTGTATTAATAAACCAGGTCGAATAGATTCAGCTGCTTCTCTAACCTATTTTTTGAAAAATTTAAATGCTTTTTAATTTCCTCTATTTTTTGTTTTACATACAACATGTTCAATTTGTGTAACTTCATCTCTTGGAATACGTTCAAGAAATTCTGAATAATATTTTAATCCAATCATTTGATTATGTGTTAATTTAGCTTTTGTACGAAGATCATCTAATGTTCGATAGCCCTTTTTTTTTTTGTTATTTTTCAAAATATATAATTTAAAAAATAATTCATCTTTCAAAAAATAAACATACAAGATCAACCCATCGTTTAGCTTGTGCTGGTCCAATACCCCAAATTTTTCCAAATAAATCCATTACAGCAATATCAGCATCTGTTTGATATTCTTCTAATTTTATCATACTACCTGTTTCCATTATTTCAACTATTTTTTCTGCTAAACGTGAACCAATACCAGGTAACATTCGAATTTCCTATTTAAAAAAACAAATATATATTGAAATTTTTTATACAATATATATATATATATACTTCATAAGTTGTAACTGGTCGATGACATTTTTTTAAAGTACTTATTGCTTTTTGATAACCATATGCACGCCATTTATCATTAGAATTTCGATATAAATTTGCCATTTCCTATTTAATCAAAGAATAAAATGAAAAATTTAGATTTTGTTTTTTTTTTACTTGAAGTTTATCAATAACAGCTTGATTGGGATTAACTATAGGATCAACAGGTAATGCAGATGATTCACAACACATCCAATTATTTCTCTAGATAAATATATTTATATATGAATAAAACAATCTAAATGAAAACTAACCGCAAATGTAATTTCTTTGGAAGCTAATGTCTAAAATAAAAATTAAATTGATTTTATATATATATGAGTGCAATTGCTGAACTCTCGATAGATTATATAAATATGTCTTAGAATAAAACAATCGAATCGTCTATTCATATTTTAATCCGACTAAGAATACGTTAACAAGTTTTTGAAATGAATCCAATAATATCACCGATCGAGCTCATATTTTGTCATTCGATGAGATTAGCAGAAGCCCGAAAAGATTCCAGAGTTACGACCGTTTCATGTATCTTTCGACCTCTGGTAATGGTATTTATAGGGAAGGTCAACAATTGAATTTTGTCTATAAACAGATCTCATCGTTACTAGAATGTCCTAATAAAATAAATGTTTCTTTCTCAAAATGTTGAATTTTCAAAGGCAAAGGTCAACAAGTCAAGCTTCCTGGAAATTCAATATTTTGAAAAAGAAACATTTTATTAGAATATTCTAGTGACCATGAGATCTGTTTATAGACAAAATACCATTTCCAGAAGTCGAAAAATACATAAAACGGTCGTAGCTCTGGAATATTCTTCCGGGACAAAATATGAGCTTGATCGGCGATTAACATTTAGAAAGGTTTCCTCATAATCTCGAAATTCCAGTAAAAATAATTGAACTTTTGTCAATATAACTTTTTTTTTTTTTGATTAACTAAATTTCGTTTATGAATAATTAATTTCTATATAAATACATACAATTAATTCTTCATCAGTTTTTTTAATATTTTCATCATCATCATCATAATCACTGTCTGAATTTGATCGTATTCTCGGTATAATTGACTGTTCATTATTAAATTTTATTCGAGATATTTTTTGATTAATTATTATATTATTTTCATTTGTTGTTTTTGTTATTTCAAATACTAATGAACGTATATATGGTTCACGTGGTAATAATTTTTGAGCACGTAATGATTCACTAAGCCATCTTGTACTAACTAATTGTGGAATATATGAATTTGATAAATCAATATGAAGAATTTTTTCAATAATAATATGTGTTTCAAGTGTATCTTCAACAATAATACAATCAATATTATTAATATTAAATGATGTTATACATTCAAGAGAAAATTTTGAACATGCTTCACGAAATATTGATAAACGACCTTTGCCTATTGAATTTGGCAATAAATATACTCGACATGTAGCATTGATCATTTCTATAATAATAACAAAAAAATGAATATTATTTTAATAATAAGAAAAATCTTATTAACTTACACATGCTCGAATGAGAAACGTTGGTGAGATCAATCTATCTAAAAAAAAAACAAAGAACAATTCACAAACATTTTATTGATTTTGTTTTTTATATATAAAAATTTTGAAACATTCTATTGAATATTGTGTTTAACTATTTTTAAAATGTTGAAATTTTGTATGATAAGAGAATATTTTTACTTAAATTTTTATAATAAAAGATAATTTTGATTAGAGACAAATTTTTTTTTTTTTTTTTTTCCCTGATATTTATACTTTTAGTTTTTTCTTAAAAAATAAATAGATGAAAACGTATCCTTTTACATATTATTCTCGTTTATTTCTAGAAACATAGAGTTAGGTCAAGGTCAAAAACTGGGTTCTTTTTCAGATTAGACATATTAGTTGACATATAGGATTGCATAAGGATAAAAGGGTATGTGTAGTCTGAATAAATACCGTGTTACGGTATCGTAAATATGTAGAAATATCGAAGTAAATCAATCAATCAATGAACCTTAATCGATACGTTCAATCATATGAGTCATTACATATCAACGATCAGCCAATTTATTTCTAGTACATAAAACTCTTTATGATAAATATAAATTTATTTTTTTTGTATACTTTTGATCTATTTTATTTTTTTTTTTTTTTTATTCAAAGTATCATCTTATAGTGACATCTTCTTATTATTCTTTGACTACAAACAGGAAGCAAAAAAAAAAGAAGGGGGAAGAACAACAAAATGACCTTGGTCTATATTAAGCAAACTCTCGAATATTCGAATGAGAGATAAAAAAAGGCGACTGACAGAAATGTACTCTATGTACAAATATTATAGAGAAAGAAAAAGCAACTTGTGAATATTATGTTGATGGAATATTCTCCGTACAAAATATATATATATATAATATGTAGTCGATATGATAAAGCAAGATAAACACTACATTACAAATAATCTTAGGCATTGATAATAAGTACAATATGAGAGCTATTATATTTCTATTCTTCGTCTTTATCAGCATTAGCTTTTGCCTTTGGTTTATACCAATTGGTAGTGAAGCACATCCACTTTCACGTAATGGTTTTGGACGATGTCCACCAACATGTCATGTTTATTGTCCATGTGGAAATATGCTTGATGGAAATGGTTGTCCAATATGTCGTTGTCGACCATCAAATACTTGTACAGGAAGACATCCAAATTCATTTGGACGACCACCAAATTCAAAAACAAAGATTATATATTGATTCTAATAGATGAAAAACAAAAAAACTTCTCGTAATACTTTTCTTTTTATATTTAGTGATATTGCATTTTGTTTTTTTTTTATACTATATCCTTGTTAAATTTATATATGTTAAGTAAATTCTCAGTGGATTATAATCTAGAAAGACTTTTTTAAGCTAAATAATAAATGATTCATCAGATAAATAATAAATTCATTTATCTTCAAAAATAATAAATAGAATGTACTCAAAATAAAATTAACACTTCAACAATAAGTTTCTGTACTAAGAGAGCAAAGTTTATTTAGGAATTTTTATCTACGCATAATCATCAAGGTCATTATTTGTTGTTATATTCAAGGACGGACAGTAATCTATATATATATCATATATATTAACCTTTATACATTCAAAGAAATTATGACAGTATAATAATTCTACAAGGTTATTTATAAATTAGATGAGAATGTTATATAAAATTTACATTATTATTTAATAAGTATTAGATTGACCTTGATAAATAAAAGTAGAATTTTTATTTTTGAATAAATAGTAAAATATTATTTTATGATATTTTGAAATTATACTTCTACATGATGTTATGTTTTTTTTTTGTTTATATAATATCTCAACTATTTTTATCTTGATATTGTCCTTGAATTTTTGTTATATGATATGATTCATCTTAGTTATAATATAAAATGAAACATTCAAAGAAAATACAAAATAAAGTTCATATTTAATATAATTAAATGAATAAAAACAAATTTTATATAAAAGAATATTAAGTGTATTATATTTAATTCATTCTAGAATAAAAGAAATCGTCAAATTATGAATAATAAACAAACGAAGATACAAAAAAAAAAAACTACGGAATATATTTATTTTTTACCAGGTATAAATTTACGTAATTTATCACGAAGTGTTTTATCATCAATATTACTATTTGATGGATTACGTGGTGTTGAACGAGTAGTCAAACTCATAGTTGAAGTTGGTCTTTCATTATATAATGTATTACGTTCACGTTCTCGATTACGTTCATTTATTGATTTTGAACGACTAAAAACATATTTAGCAGCTAATTGATTAGCTTCATCAATTGTTCGTATTGGAATATTTGATATAAGTTGTATATTAAGTGGTGATATTGTTCGATGACCCATATAGACAAAAGCTGCAGGTGATAAATCATATGTTGATAAAGGTTTTCGTAAATCTGATAATATAATACGTGGTGGTGATGTATATAAATAAAAATCTTTTTCTCCTATATGTCGACATATAAGATTTGTTCGTATAAAATCAATAAGACGTGAAATTGGTTCTTCAGGACGAAATAATCCTTGAAGTATATAATGATTATTAACAACAAATCGAATAGCTATTTGTTCATAAACAATAATATGTGTTGAATGTAAACGATCACGCATACTACGAGTTTCTAATGGATTATCTGTAGTACTAAATAAATATTACAAAAAAAAAAATCTTATTGAAATAGATTTTTTTATAATGAAATTATTTTACCTTTGTTGTTGTAAATCTTTAAGTACAGATCGAAGATCATCAGCTGTTAATTCATAAAAACTATCAGGTAATTCTTCAGATGTATTATTTCGATTATCACGTTTTGTTCGAGTTTTTGTTAGATCATATGCTATTGCATGTCGATCACATGGCTATTTTAATCATAGAAATTTAATAATATTAAAAAGTAATCATCAATCATTTTACTTTAACATCTTGTGTACGTCTATAATCATCATCAAATTCATTATGATAAAGATTTTTACCTTTTGTTGATTCAGGAAACTAAAATTAACAAAAATAATCGTTTTATTTTTTTTTCTTGTTTAAAAATAATTACTTTAAAATTACGAAAATCATTTTGAGTTTTTTGTTGATTTTTAATATCAGATTCAAGATCTAATGATAGATTAAGTCCAATTGCTTCAGCTAATGTACGTGAATGTTGTTGTGACTAAAAGTAAAAGTTTTTTTTTTTTTTGTTCATAGAAAATAAAGTTCTTACTCGTGTTGTTGTTGTTGGACGAGATGCAGTAGCAGCTGGAGGATCACGAAATATTGAATATTCTTCATCATTTGATGTTGTTATATCAGAATTAATTAATGGACGTGATGAATTAGATATTGAAGGAGGAGATGAACGTATAGGTTCAGATTTTGTTATTTGTTTAGATTTTTGTTCTTGTTCATATTGTTGTTGACGTCGACGACCAATTTTATCATCAATACGACTATTTATTTTTACTAATTCAGCATCACTAACTGATCGTAAATTATAACTAGAAATAATAAATACACAAATAAAATTTTTGGAATTTTCATATATATATTTTATATAAATATATTTACCGTATAACAGCTGTTCCACTTGAAAGTCCAAGTTCACGTAATGTTGTATTTGATAAAGCATATTCACCGATGATCTATATTTATATAGAATAAAGTATAAAAGCCAAAATATATATATTCAATATAGTACTTCTTCTGTCATATATGAACAAACTGGACATGAATTACGATCATCACTCATTGAAATATCAAGAGCAGCTATCATACTTTAATTATAAATAATAATAAATATTTATATGTAATATAGATTGTTTACCTATCTGGTTGTATACGAAACCAATCAAGCATTTCTTGAAGTGTAACTGTAGATTCAAACCAACTAGAATATCTTGAATTATCAGGTAATTGTAATTGAATATTAATATCATCAGTTTGTCGACGATTTTCAAGTTTATACATTTCTAATATAGCATTTGTTGGAATACTTTGTAAACGCCATGGTATTGTTAAATTACATTTTGTACGTTGATGCCTATTTATATATTTTATAAAAAATTAAAAATTATAAAATAATTCTTACATAAGTCCCCATTCAGATGAATCTAAATTTTCTTCAGTACACATATCTTCAAGTACCTCAAAAAAAAAACAAAAATATTTTATAAATATTGATCTATTGGAGATAATTTTCTATTGATTATCAACTTATATTGAAAATTCATCCGATAGAATAATGATTGAGTAAGACAAACTTCACATCAGAAGTCCAAGCCTGTCACTTGCACTAGTTTGAAAACCATAGGTGATGCCTATGGCAGGCGGGTTAGGATCAGGTTGAACAATAGCCCTAGTGCCCTCTGGTTTCTAGTCTGTTATCATTATTGTACTCGCTCGAAAAACTTGACAGGTCGTGCAGGTCTAAAACCCGTAGCCTGTTTGGACCTTTGCTTCACATACTATTGATTTATCAATAGATATTCCAATTGTAATGAATCAACATAGCTTACTTGTAGTAAACTACTATTGAGTGTCATTTGTACTTTTCGTCGATGTCCACTTGGACATAAAATATAAATTATATTTTTAGCCATGAATATTATACGATCTAAAATAATATGTTCTAACTGAATGAAAAAAAAAACAAAACAATATTTTCCAAAATTAATTTGTGTTTTTGTGAGAAAATTTGATATTGATTATAAAAAGATTTAAATGAGAGAAAAAAAAAGCAAATATTAATTTTATTCTTTACAATATGAACAATACAATAAAAAAAAAAAAAAGAATTTTAATTTTCTTCAGTTTTAGATTTTTTATTTTCTTCATCATTTTTTTCTAATTCATCTACTGGTCGTTTATGTCGAATTGTTAATGTTATATCTTTTACTGATGTATCTATTGTTGTACTATTATCAGTTGTATGACTTGTTGTACTTGTAAGAAGATTTTTTGCTTGTTCAATTAAATGTTTATCATCAATTGATGTTTGTACATCATTACGTTTAAGTTCAATAGATGGTAAAAGTGATGTAAGTTCATTACGTTCACTTTCTTTATCATTATCTATTAGTTTTTCAATAGCTTGACGTATAATATTTATAGATTTATCAAAATTTTCAATAGCTTCAGAATATTTATTAATTAATTCATATATTAAACCTAATTTATAATAACTTTCAGCAAGTAAACGATAACGTTGTTGTTCATTAAGTGTTTCTTGTAATTCAATTGCTTTAAGTACATGTAAAAGAGCATTTTCATGATCACCATTTTCATTACATATATCAGAAAGCATAACATGTATATCACCTAAACGTGTTATTATATGTATATTATTTAATTCAGTTTCTAATATTTTTGAATAAATCATATGTGCACATTCAAAAATTTCAAATGCACGTTCAAGATCATTAACATGTTCATCATCTGGAATTGATTCATCATCATCATCATCATCTTCATTTTCATTTTCATCATTATTTTCATCTATAAAAAAAAACAAATATTAAACTAAAAAAATATGTTGAAAAAATAACCTTTAACAATATCACTACCAAATACTTGTTGTTCATTAAGACCAAGATAAAGTAATGCTTGACCATAATAAAAATATGGTTCAGCAAGTTCAATTGTTGTATCACTTTCACGTAATGTTACACTAAGAAAAACAAAACTTTACAATAGAATTTTTCTTTTTTTTTAATAAAATTTTCTTACATTCGTTCACATGCTTTTGATAAATGATCACATGCTGATTGATAATTATGTAATAAAACATCTCGTTTACCAAGCATAAATAATGAATTAGCTTCTTCATCTCTAAATTTTTAAATATGAAATTAATTTTTTTTTTAATTTTATGCTCAAAATTCTTTCTAACTCACTGTATTTCAATATGAGATGAGGATGCCATACTAATAAATGAATAATCTAGAACAAAAACAATATTTATTAGACTAACAAATATTTTCTAATTAATGTATACAACATAAAAAGCGATTGACTTAATTTTTTGTGATTTTTCTTATACATATCTGATTAATAATAAAAGATTTAAATATGCGACACACATAAACAAACAAATAGATTGACTAGTTCATATATATATATATAATTTTTTTTTTTGTTTCTTTTCTTGTTTTGATATGAGATTTAAAAATGACAACAATAAATTAAACAACAGTTAGTTCTTCATTTGGAACTTTTGCACTTGGTAATGATGTTTCATCTGTATCATCACCATTTTCACTTGTTAATGGATCCATAATTTTCATTTTTTTATTTGTTGTTGTTGATACAATAGCTTCTTCATCTTCATTTTGTGTTTGACCATTTTTTTTCTCATTATCATCTTTTTCAACTTCATCAATATCACGTTTATTATTATTATTATTTGTATTTATTTTTTCATCATCATTGTTTTCTTCTTTAGCATTAGCCGTTATTTCCGATTTATTTTCTTCTTCTTCTTTTTCTTCTTGTGCTTTTTCTGTTGTTAATTGTTCATTCGATTGTGGAACTTGTTCATCATCATCATCATTAACTTTATTCACATTATCTTCATTTGTTGTATTTGTATTATGATGAGATTCTTTGGTATTTTCAACCTCAGTAACAACAGGAATTTGTTCATCACTTGACATGACTTCTTGTTTTTTTTTTTTTCCTTCTATAGTGACAGATCTATAAATGTTCTTTGGGAAAAGGAAGAAAGAGAATATGCAGATGTTTGCTTATATATACGATTTTTTGGTATTTTTTCATTGGTTTATTATTAATACCAATGAAATATATAATAAAAATGTTATTTCTCATTTTCGAGAATTTTAGTTTTGAGAAAAAAAATTAGTTTTTTTAAAAATCTAATTAATTATTCTATATTTAATAATTATCAAATAATTTTCATAATTTATTATTCGTTTATGCATTTAGTAGAATTTTAGAATAGAGGTTCATCAAATTCTTCAAATTAAAAACCTTGATGTAATGTAACGCCATCTTTCACATGATTTTTATCTCACTTAAAATATACATGATTTTTTTTTTTATGAGTTTTAGACTATTTATTGTATCATCATATGAAGATTTTATTAACTTGAACGTTTTTCAAGATCATATAAACGAACATAGAGAACATCGTCATCATCTTCAGGATTATTATCTTCATCAGCATCGACAAGGACGATTCGATCAATAGATTTATCTTTTAAACATATATTAATAATAGCAGCATCTTCAGCTTCTCGACGTGTTTTTGGTGATCCTGAAATTTTTGGCAAGAGATATAGATCATTTTGATCATCAATTTGATATCGAACGGGTTTGATAGGTGTTGGTGAGAGTTGACGTTGAATTGATGGCAAACTAGAATGTTGTGTTGCAGCAATAAGTGATTGAGGATTTGAATGTAGATAAGTATTTGGTTGTAATAAATATCTACACATCGCACAATGATCAACATCTTTACTACTACAGCCATAATGACTATAGACATGATATATTGGGCCTGTGGATGACTAAATTAGGAAGTGTAAATTTATACAAAAAAAACAGATAATGAAGAAATATTTTTTTTTTACTTGAGTTGATGTAGAGGGAATAAATATAGGCGTTTGCCATTGCTCGACACCTCTATTCGGTGTATACATTGCTAAATGAATCGAACAGCTTATAAAAAAAAGACCACCTACAGTGTTTGTGATTGGTATGAATGTTATTAATGTCGACAGAAATAAACGAATTACAATTTTTAAGGTGGGAAGTACAGCATTTATATAGTCGATCTCGTACATATTCAGCCTCCACACTGTTCTAGAAAACGGCAATTCGCTAGAAATTCATTCGAATTATGTCAAAGAGATCTATGTCTCGACATGATACAAAAATTTTTCGAATTTTCAATATGAATTTTCGTGCATATTCCGTAAGTTTCGCTAAACGATAATTTTGAGATCGCTTCGCATCATATTTACATAGAACGAAGATTCAGAAAATACACAAACCCAAATGGATTATATATATATTAACCTCTTTACCTCTGCTATGCTATAAATAGACACAATAACAAAAATATCACTAAGCCATAATTTATCAAGCCAAACTTAACATAGCACGTTGTTCTAAATATCATTCTCTACCTACTACATTAGACTACTCTAAGCTGTTTATTCGTGATATTCAAAGTGTAATAGATCACATTGCTAAAATGACTTTTATTTTCTTCGATATGTAAGTAAGACAAGATTTTTCAGCATATCTAAAGCAATTTATACTGCTCTTGCTAATGATATATATTGAACAATAAAGCTAGGTAAATACTACAGTTTTACAAAATGACTAGTTAGACACACTAGAGACTATAGAATGTAATTTGATGAAAACCAGATGATTATAGCTCATCTAGTTATAGAGATATGTACAAAAGTATATAAAATTATCTACTACATAGACACATAGTCTAAACAGGATCCTATAATTCTATTATATATCATCATTCTTCAGTTGGTGTGATAATATACGAATTTCGATCAAAACTATTCACTTTTGAGCTAGATAGATATGTAAAACTTTCGCTTCTATTTTGTTTTCGGCGTTCACTTATTAGAACAGTTCAAAGATGATATTGAATAATTTCATGAAGATCGACAAAGACGTTGAAGATAAACTGGCCGCAATCTTCTCAGATCTCATGGATTATCTGCTGATCATTATGATACTCAACCAAAATTGATATCATTCATAACCATTCATTATCAGATAATATTTATTCGTGTCAGAAAAATAAAGAGTACTAATACTATGTTGTTTTTGTCAATTATTAACTAGTAATGCATATCTATTCCCTCTTATTATCCTCAAAATTTTTTCATTTATGGAATGAAAAATAAAGCAAATATTGATTGTTTAATACCTCCTATGATTGCCCAACAGTTTTGTGACATATGTTAATGATAAATAGATGACAAATATAAAAGCATTATATATGATATTTGTACGAATATAAAGTCCGACTGTAAATTAGAATGATTGAATAGAAAATGAATAAACAACTAATAGAAACAAGTCAAATAAAAAACTAGTGTGCTTATACTTAGTACACAGAAGATGTTGCACATCATTTTGACATATATGCACAGAATCGTGTTGGAGTGTTACCAACATTAATAATAATTGAACTGGTTACTGCTGAAAGTTTATATACACGTTCAAATATACCAGAAGAATGATTATTATTAACAAACGTTGTTCAAGTGATGATGGTACAACATTAACAAGTTATTTTACTCAAAGACGTAATATATTCTAACAACTCTGAATGTCAATCCTTAAAATTAGAATAACCAGCTAATAATGCACACACTAGGAAATGTCAGGTAATGGTGATGATAATCCATTAAAGGAATATTTCTTAAATCACAAATAAAATAAAATGATATTTCTTTCTCAAATAGTAATTATAAATTCAATATCAATACTTCCATCATAAAGACCATCATTATTAAGGGATTCAAGTGATATTTCATTTTATATTATCGAATGTCGTAATGTTCTTAAAGATAATTGAATTCGAGTAAAAAAATAACGTTTCATCAAATCAATATAATTTTCTTATATGAGAATTAAATTTCAAATTATTGTTTTCTTGTTTGCGTATTAAAAATATCATAGGATCAACAGTATGTATACAAATGAATCCCATAAGAAGTGCTTCTAGTGGAATCACTAGATACTCCAGAAAAAATAATAATAACAGAGGATACTTTAATAGTTAATTGAAGTAGAGCTTCATCAAAAACTCAATCGTATTCATTCATTTTAAAGAACGATATATTTGAAATTATATTCAGAGAAAACAACCAGTTGGATTTTTTCAAAGATGACAAAATGTTAATAATTTATTACAAACATGAACATGTCTTATGACGTGATCGAACATCAGATATATAATAGATAGACTTTTTTTTAACAAATTAAACCAAGCCTTTTTATCTATATTGAATTAGAGTTTTTTTATGCCATCCATTATGAATTGATTTACAAACTGAACATGTTCAAATAAGAGTTGATCATGTTCTATGACCAAATATTAAACGTCTTGTATTGATTATAAGAAATTAATATATATTTGTTTCCTTCTTTGTCTTATTTCAATTCAATTTAGTCTGTTGTTCTTGTTAAGATACTAAAGACTAGAATCATCTAGTTCATCAGCATTTCTTTTTTTATCTCCTTTTTAGTTTTTATTTATTGTAAAATATGTTAAATAATAAAATAATAATAATGTTTTGAATTGATAGTGTCATTGGATCATGTTATATTTTTGTTAAAATAAATGTCTACTATACATATCTGAATGTAGTACGAAGAAAATAAGTACATATTCATCGGTACTCATACCCCGAAACTTTTCACTGAAAATTAAAAAAACAAAAAAAAAATAAATATCAATATCAATACAGAAAATTGTAGAGTGGTGATGATTTGATCGTCGACGACAATTATTATCTCATTAATTATTGAACTGATGGGAATCAATTATGTTGTCTGTTCGTTTTCAATGATCAAATATGCATTACTCATCGTCATCGTTATTTAAAAAAAAGAAAATTTTTCTTTTCCCTAGTATTTATTGTATTGTGTAGGGGAAGATAGGTACCATCTTATATCACAGTCTGTCAGGTGGCTTCATAATCTGATCCAGGGAGATTTCATATGCCTGTTATGATGAAGCAGTGTAGTACTCACGATGGCCTATGTATGCTTCTAGATTCCTTTCATTGTTATTGGACTTCACACCTACGTTCATGCCCTACCAGTTCGACATGGCCTCCTCTGCTTGTACCCACATCAGGCTTACAGGGAGTTTCCGTAGTCGTGCATGTGTACGCAAGAATGAGTCGAGACAAACCGATAAAAGAAGCGAATAGTAATGCGAACGAATTTATTAAGCAAAGCAAAAACAGTTACACTTTCTTTGCAATTTTTTTAAATGTTTCCTTATAGTCCAAAAGATGAGGATGATTCAAAGGTAATTTTTCTTGAGCAATTTCGATCGCTTGCTGTACATTGTTCATTGCTATACTATATTCTTGAGTAGCCAAATATACTTTCGCCAAATTGTGATAGATTATAGCTAAATCAGGATGATTTTTTGGTAATTTCTTTTTTCGTATTTCTAATGCTTTTTGAAAATATGACAATGCCATGGGATAATCTTCCATTTCACGATATGTTTTACCTAAATTAGTATATGTGGTCCCAAATTGAAGAGGATTACATTGAACATTTTCTTGAATATTTAATGCTTTTTGATGAAAAGAGAGTGCCTTTTCATAATCACCCATCAATCGATGAACATCACCAACATTACTGTATGTTATACCTAAATTCGGATGTCTTTCAGGTAGTATTCTTTGATCTATTGTGAGACACTTTTCAAAGTAATCAAGTGCTCTAGAGTAATCTTTCATAAAGCGATAAACTCTTCCAAATCCAGAATATGTTGAGACAAAAACTGGATTATTTTCTTCAAATGTTTTTCGTTGAATTTCAAAAGCAGTTTGAAGAACTTTAAGAGCTGCTGTGTACTCACCCATTCTTTCGTAACATGCGGCAAAATTCAAGTGACCAATCGCCAAATCGGGATGATTCGAAGGCAGAGCTTTTTCTTTTATTTGATGTGCTTTTTCATAAAACTCAAGTGCTTTCGGGTAGTCACCCATGTTATTATACACTTGACCGATATTGCTATACGAAATAGCCAATGAGGGATGACTCGAATGTAGAGTTTTTTCTTTTATTTGATGTGCTTTTTCGTAAAACTCAAATGCTTTCGAGTAGTCACCCATGGTGTTATATACTGAACCGATTTTGCTGATAGTGATAGCCAAATCTGGATGACTCGGAGGTAGAGCTTCTTCTTTTATTCGATGTGCTTTTTCGTAAAATTCAAGTGCTTTCGAGTAGTCACCCATGTTGTTATACACTTGACCGATGTTGCTGTACGAAATAGCCAATGACGGATGAGTCGGGGGCAGAGCTTTTTCGTAGATTTGATGTGCTTTTTCGTAAAATTCAAGTGCTTTCGCGTAGTCACTCATGTTATTGTGCACCGAACCGATCTTGCTCATAATGATGGCCAAATCTGGATGATTTGGAGGCAGAGCTTTTTCGTAGATTTGGTATGCGTTTTTGTAAGATTCTAGTGCTTTCGAGTAGTCAACCATCTTGTTATAGACTTGACCGATGTTGCTGTAGGAAGTAGCCAAATCTGGATGACTTGGAGGCAGAGCTTCTCTTGTAATTTGCAAATCTTTTTCGTAAAACTCAAGTGCTTTTGAGTAATCACCCATGTTATTATACACCGAACCGATGTTGCTGTACGAAGTAGCCAATGACGAATGACTCGGAGGTAGAGCTTTTTCTCTTATTTGAAGTGACTTTTCGTGAAATTCAAGTGCTTTCGAGTAGTCACCCATCTTGTTATACACTTGACCGATGTTGCTGTACGCAGTAGCCAATGAGACACTATGCGGAGGCAGAGTTTTTTCGTAGATATCCAATGACTTTTTGCAAAAATCTAGTGCCTGCTTGTATTCTCCTCTGACATTTTTGATAAGTCCAAGTCCGTGATAACAATACGCTTTATTGATGTCATCCGAGGCCTCGTTTAATAACATTGTGTACACTTCCTCAGCCTTGTCATACTGACTCATTTTGTATAGTAAGTAACCCATTCGTTGCCAGCCATTTCCAGTGATGTCCTGTCGTATGCTCTGTGTAAGTTCACTGAGCTGCTTATCGGTACTGTCACTGGCTAGTGTAAGACTGATTTCCCATATCTTCATTTCATTCTCTTCGATTAGTTTCATTTGTCGAACTCGAAATACCGTGTGCGTTGAAAAGAGAACTTCTTTTTCATGTGGGGAGTGGCTGAATTGAGCGACGCGAGCAAATGGAGCCGATTTTATCGATGGACCAATTGTCATGATAAAGAGGACACCAATTTTGGTGTTGTCGGATTTGAGTTTTTCGTTAATAAAGTGAAGGGCAACACTTTTTTCTTCACTTGTTGATAAGAAATTATTGTAAGACAGGAGTTTGTCTTGTTGAATTTTGATTTCAAAATCTTGTTGTGTGATAGTTTGACCACGGTAAACTGTACTCGGAAATGGTGCATTCTTGTCGTTCAGTTGTTTGGCGTGGAGTTGCTGGATATTTTGATGAAGATCACGCATGAAAAAACCCGTTTTAAGTAGGGTGCCAGCATCCAGTTTACCCAATGCTTTGTTGAGCATTTTGTATGTAAAACATTCTGCAGTATACCATCGAATAGGATTGTTGTCAATGTTACCATTGTACTCTCGGGCGAATTCGTCGATGAGTTTGAGTTGTTTTTCGTTATGAGCATACGCCTTTTGCTTACGAGCATAATTGGCAAGATCTGGAATTGTAATGTTTTCGTTAAAATCAATTTCAAGTATAATTTCTTTGAACAGCGTTGTATACATAAATGATGGTTCTATTTCACCAGTAATTGCAGCAGCATCATCACCACATTCTAGAGCTGCTTGTCGAACAGAGGCGCAAATGGAGTCGATTTCCGTGAACACACCTCTTACTTTAGGCCACTCTTTTGTTGCCCATTGTTCATACTTTGATTGTTTGCGACAAAAGATATAGATTGCATAAATTTGAGACATGTCGTGAGTACGTGGTACAACATTTCCCGTAAGAGCTCCAGATATAATGAGAAAAGCTTTTTCATTTTTAAAACCTGAAATATATTTAAGACATTCATCAGCATCACGAAATGTCTCAATAGTGTCGACAGTTCGTCGTAATTCCGTAATTGAATTGCGAAAATCTTCGTTTGACTCGTTCAAGTTACCATCGAGCCAAAGGAGAAGAAAATTTTGTACAAGATCTTGCACTTGTGTACGTTGCTTCTCTTTTTCTCCGTTCATAGTACGGTCTTGAGAATGGTGAGGATGTGTGGGTGAACTTATTTCGGCAGGAATATGAAAATTGACAGAACTTACTGTTCCTGTTGATGCACTGCAGCCCATTTGGTGAGCTATATATGTATAAGTTTTTTTATGTGATGTAAAAGTTAAATTTTGAAAAAATAACGGAATGTCATTTATGTCGTTTGACGACAATTTTTCTTTCTTATTTCTTAATGTACATTTATTTGTTGACACTCAAGGAAGAAGATTGTCTAGCGTCAATAGAAAAGGATAATGATGACGGCGACAAAAGATTGTTGCTGCTACTGTTGCCAACGTTCTCTTGCTTATGTTTCAATGAGTAGCAGTCTGTTGCAAAGCATGCTTGCAATAAAACAATAAGTGTCTTATTGAAAAACAATAGACTACCGTTTTTTCTGTTCCAAAAAATCCATTCAAAGGTTTCTCTCTTTCTGTTTCGTTCGTTGTGCTTTGTTTTAATATGCCAAAACGTTTTTTTTAATGTTTTGATTTAACTAATACAGTTGAATCATGTTTATATATAGAAATAATGAATAGCAAAAATTTCAAGTTATGTTTAGAGAGATTCTGATGTTTTTTATCATCTGACTGGGCAAAACTTAACTTTATATATTTGTATAATCAACTTAACATAGTTTTTATTACGAACAATATTATTAAATTTTAAATTGTTATCGTTTTAAAATTAGAGTGTGGATAATTTAAATTAAAAAGAGGAATTTTAAAGAGTGTGGATTTTTGTCCTCTCTTCATTCAAATCCATACCCATCCGCACCCTTATCGGCACTATTCAATGATGATTTATTCGAATTCGACAAGATATACATTTAAAATTCGCTTAATTTTATGCATTGTCATCTCTGCTGCTTCCTGAAAATTCTGCTTATATTCTTGTACTAGGTCATTATTTCCTTCAGCAAATTTGATGGCTTGATCGTAAAAGGACATTGCTAACCAGTAACGTTTATTTTTATCATGAACTTCACCAATATCATTGAGAAGTTGAGCGACGACGTGCTGATCGACTTTGGAATTCTTTTCAAGCAAATGCATCCAAATATGCAATGCTTTCTCATATGAGCTAAGTGCCTGAGAAAAGTCTTCTTTTAATTCATGTATTTGTCCAATACTATGATGAACTAAGGCTATTTGACTGTGAAATTTATCATCTCCTGATGCCAATAACAAAGCCTCAACGAAACACTCGAGCGCTGGTCCATTCTGGTCGAGCACCATGAGCGTGCGACCTTTTTGGTATAAAGCTTGAATCATAACACTGCTGATCACCGGCGTTAATTTTATTTGTCGGCAAGCATTAAGAGCATCGACAAAATATTTTATTGCTTCTGAATGTTTTTCCATTTTAGCATAGATGCAACCAACATTATAATAGGTCATTCCAATCGAAATACTCTCTGTTGGCAAAATTTTAATCGAATCAAGAGATTTTTGGCAATACATCAATGCATTGGCATAATCTCGCTTATCTGCATAGACAAGAGCCAGATTATTAAGCGTGGCAACTAAATCTGGGTCGTCGAGCGCTTTCAACTAAAGTGATAATTCGTGATAACGGATTGATTCGTCATATTGATGTTGATGCCTATAGATACAAGCCATATTATTGTAAATCTTTGCTTTATCTTCTGGAAACATTTTAAATTCCAATGCTTTAAAATAGGCACTCAATGCTTCTTTATCGTTACCTAAGGCTTGATAACTTGCACCCATACTTGTATATACACATACTTGATCACCATGGTCATCGGGGAGAACCTGAAGAGCCTGTCGAAAGAGCGCGATGGCTTCATTGTGTTGATTTTGCTTGTGTAAAAGTATCCCAAGATTGTTCAAGATAGTACCGATATCAGGATGATCGGCTGGTAAATCACGCAGAAGTAGTCGAAAATATCGTTCAGATCGATACAGATCACCCATATCACCTAGCGACATCAAACTAAATTCACTATCGTCAATGACAAGAAAACTTACCGAGAAAACGTCCGAGAACTATCAATGTTGATTGATTACCCGTTTGTTCTTTCAAATAACGAATCATCGAACTTAACCGTTCGCTTACTTCATCATTCAAAGTCAACTCTACATGCCAAACTCTGTTCTCTTTATCTTCAGTGATTTGATCAATTCGAAAAACGCTACCCATAGCTATAAGTGTTTCATTCTCGCTACGCACAGAACTAAAATGTGTAATGTTAACTATCGGTAATTTGCTCTGCTCCAAATTGAGAACAAGTTGAAAAATAACCGGAATTTCGTTTGGATTAGTATTCGTATTCGATCCGGCAAAGACTGAGGCGACATCGAGATCAAAGGTGGTCGATAAAAAACTATTGAAAGCAATCAAATTTCCCTGTTCACTATTCTTCAATAACGCATCAAAATCATCCTGATACATCAATTGACCTCGATGGACAATGACGGATTCAAGCCATTCACGTTGTGTTTGATATTCATTCTCCAACTGATGATATAAATCTTGAAGAAAATATCGAAGTGTGAATATGTTATCAATATTCTGCGTACGAAATGCTCGATTGAGTACACGAAAGAGAAATTCCGGTTTAGTATACCATCGAATGGCATCCTTTGACTCGTATTTTGCAATAAATTCATCAATGTGTTGTTGCTGAACAATATCATCTTGGAAATAGGAGCGTAAGAAATCGATCATCTCTTCTTTATCACTGAGCTTTCGTGGAAGTTGACGAATGACGTCGATCAGCAATTGATGCCAAACAAATGTCGCTGATTGATGATCAGAACAAAGATCACGTAGGGATCGTTCGGTTGTCAATGTATTCGAAGTAAAATAAGTCATAGCAGGAGGAATACCTTGTTCGAGTTCGATATCACGCACCAATGAAATGAATAAATTTCGACTACTGTTCGTAGAAAATCGAAGATATTTGTTATTTGATAATAGTGGTTGTTCACTTTTTTGATCATATAGATAGATGTGAGCAATCTGTGGCCAATCCGATATTAGTTCAGCCATATAAGCTGTTCGAAGTCCAAGAAGAATCAGATAAACTCTGGTTTTACCTTCAGATAAATTGCATAAGAAGTCGACACATGCATCGAGATCTTGGTAGATTTGAATATTACTAAACGTGTCCGAAAGATGTTTTTTCAGTTGATCATAATCTGGATCGATACCACCTTCTAATCCCACAACATGCTGATGCCTATACTCGTCATACAAGGACATTCTCGTATTCAATAAATCTCGAAAAACAATGAAAAAAAATTTGCTTTAAAGCTAACATGCATTCATAATGACATAAATTTATTTTCTAGATGCTATGAGAAAATTTATATCAACAGCTGAATGGGTCGAAATGAAGAACCGGTTTACTTACTTCAACTTCAGGTAAATATTTGAAAGCTCTTGAAGCTTTTGCGAGAAAAACAGAAATGATTCGACGAAGTGTTGCCTCTATTTATCAAAGAACGTCGTGTTTGTTGACTCAAGTGATAAGAACAGCAACAAATACCACGTTTGCTGCTTACAAAGAATTTTTTCGTTTCATTCTTTTGCTGCTGTTTATCGTACTATTGAGCTCCGGTTATAACACGAATTTGTAATCCTATGTAGAAGAAATTTTCAATCAATAGGATCAAGGGTGTGGGTAGGCGTAGGAGTGAGTCGAGTATGGGTGTGATTGTGGACGTGTGGATCGATATCTTCTCTCCACCACAGGCACCCAAATCTACACCCACACTGCACATTCATACCACACCCGCCAAAACCTTGAGTTCAAACTTACACTCATTATTTACTTCGAAAATATATGTAAGTTTCACAAAAGAAAAAAGGAAAGTGCATAAAAAAAGATTGTGAAATGATGGGTGTGGGTGTGAGTGTGGGTGTGGGTGTGGGTGGATGTGGGTGTGGGTGGATGTGGGTGTGGGTGTGGGTGTGGGTGTGGGTGCGGGGTGTGAGTGTTGGTGTGAGTGTTGTTGATCTGTTTAATCATACCACCCACACCCACATCCACACTCACACCCATACCCTCACCCACAACCACACCACCCACACTCACAACCACATCCACACCCACATACACCCACACCCACCCACCGACACCCCACACCCACATCCGCAGCGATATCTATGACCTTACATTATAAAGAAATAGATATTGTTGTCTCTACCGTATAATAAATGAACTTTCGTGCAAAAGAAATATTTTTCACATTGATTGCATTCGCTCATGGTATACTTCTCACTTTGGATGCTTTATTTTTGATAAGTGTAGTCGCATAGTCGATAAAGTCTGTAGCTGAAAAATATTCAATAAAAATAAACACAAGAAAGATAAGATAAGTAAAATGTTGACATCTTCCAAAACTAACAAACGTGTCATTCGATAAAAAAAGCAAACGATCTCACGTAAACAAAATCAGTTAAAGCCATCAACAACACATCATTCAAGTTTCCACGGCTATTTTTGTTGGAACTATTCGATTGTGGAAAGTTAACTATTATGATGATTTGAGAAGTTAATCAAAGTAATTTAAAAGCCATATACATAGTGCAAATATGATCGTATTATTAAGAAAGGGTGAAGAAAAAAATGGAAACAAAACCAATGGCTGACTTTCATTTAGTCAATCCACAGATAGATATTTGCCACTTAGCTGTCTAGTTGACTGACTTTTCTGCATCCATTTCACTTTTTTATAATGATCTTATATGTCTTTATTGCACAATCTATGCTTATATCTGACAAAATCGCTTTACATTCTATTTTACTCATTCTATTCATCACCTAAATTCGTTCTAGAGACTAATCGGACAATTCGCATAACGTAATAAGAAGTCTCATGAAAAAAGGCATAAAATTGTTGATATCCAACTAATGAGATGTAGTTGTGGATGGCACACCTCGAAGCATCTGGCAAGAAGTCAGAACGGCAGCGAATATCATTCTGCACTTATCAATGCACTTTGGGGGAAGGAAAAAATTGCAGGTCACAAAACAACATTTCAGTATCTAAAAACAGCCCTTTAAAGGTGATTAGCTATGAATAATACTAAGGGCAAAAAGCTTCGAACCAGGCAAAGAATGTACCATGTAACAACTATATGCATTGATTCACGCGTAACTGCCTCAAAACGAAAGCGAAAAGCGCCGGCAAAAACAGATATTCCGCATCAATGAGAATGGACAGCTCAAGCGCGGGTGTGCGCGGGTGTGAAATGTAACGTTCTACACTCACCGAGATCCACCCTCACAACTATGTCTATACCCAACCACACCCAATTCTGTACCCATGTCGACACCGACAACCTGTGGATGGGGGTAGCTGTAAGATAAAATGTTCTAATGTCACTGAGATTTACACACCCACAACTACATCCAGATCCACCAACATCATAGTCACACTCACACCCACACCCTCATTGAACAAACATGGGTTTTTTGTTTTTTTTACGTCACTTTTTATCTTCTGTTTCAGTGAATATTTCATTGCTGCTGTGTTTTGTCCTTTTCATAGTGTTTATTTGATAAGAATTCAAAAAGAAACAAAAAAAGGAGGCAAACACAGATAATAACCGAAGACAAAGGATTGACATGCTGCAAAAGTAAGATACAAGTCATTCGAAAAAAGCAGACAAACGGTGTAAGACGCAAAAAAATTCTATCAACTGCAACAGATAATTCAAATTACGAAGAGCAACGCGTGTTTAACAACTTAACAGTAATAAGTAAATTATTAAGAATATTAGAGCTGCAAAAGAAACTACATTCAATGTTATACAGTTAGCACCAAGACGCTACGAATATTGGAAACGATTGAGGTAGAAATAACGTCGACCCCCATGATTGACTGTAGGGTTTGGGTGTGGACGTTTGAGTGTGTGTGTGAATGTAGATATGGTTGGATGTTGATCTCTTCTTAATTCATATCCATACCCACACCAACACACCCACATCCATGTCCAAAAGGGATGAGAGCTGAAGAAGCTGACATCAAAGCAGTTGTATACTGTTAAGATACTCTCGTTATGTATTTTTTGCAGATCGAGAAAAATCCATGATTTTTGACCAGATCGTTGTTGAAATCACGGAATGAGCTGAGGTTGATCCTTTTCTTTCAGATGGTCATTTTCTTGCTGATTTATAACGATTCATTTTTTTCCGACATTCACTATCATATAGCTTGATTTTGCTTTCTGAAAACCTATCTTGAATAATTTCGTTTGTATTGTAAGCTTTATACTATTATGTTCATCATCAAACATGTACTTTAAAAGCATTGTGACAAATATTATTTACTTAATGTTGAAAACGAGTTCACCAACTACTTTCACATTTCTGCTGAAAGCCGCTCTTTCAGCTTTCGATTTTTCGGTGCGATTCTAGAAATAATCCGATCGTCTCTGAAAAGTGTACATAAGATTTCGTTCTGGTTTGCGCTAATGACTTGATCGCAAGAAGTTTCTTGTTCATTATTGCTGATTCTGTAACGATATAATCTATCCTGTATATTATAAAATACCGTTGTATACTGATCGATCTTTGCAAATAATAGAGTGCTATGTTTTTGTTTTTATTATAATATTATATTAAGCAATTGAGAATTTTATAAAAGTTGCTGGAAGATAAGTTTTTAAAAAATAGATCATAACACTCTTCTTGCCAGTATCATGAACAGATTATCAAAAAGAAAATAAAGAAATTCCGCATTTTGCTATACTTATATAGACACAGAAAGTATTGATACAATGTCTTTTATTATGTCTTATAGAAGAACAAACCACAAACATTTTCATCCACAAATCAGAACTCATAACAATCGCATTATCATCAAATTTCAACATCGTATAAAATACGTAGATGATGAATCGATTCGGTGATATCGACGTTTCATTTAAACGACTTCCACCAGTGTATGGCTACCATGCGGAAAAAATTGTTTCACTTGAAAAAGCACTTCAGCCTATCGAAGCTCACATAAATGAACTGCCTCGTTTTATAAAAGTAGCTAAGGACTACTGCCATTTTCCATCAGAACATGGACTTTCACGTGATCAATCAGCTGCTGTTTATATTTATACGATGGAATGGGGCGAAACTACTTTATATCGTGTATTAAACCAAACATTACGAGATGAAAATCGACAAGCATTGAGAATATGGTTTCCATATTTGAAGTTATTTGATACAGCATTGGATTTGTTACCGACTGTCAAAGAGGTGGTATGGAGGGGCGTACCTGTTGACATTGGTAAGAGTTTCACCAAAAACCAAATTGTGACGTGGTGGAGTGTTAATTCGTGTTCGTCAGCCGTCAACATTATCAAAAATTTTCTTGGTAACGAAAACAACTCAACACTTTTTCTTATTGAAGCTGTGAATGGCAAAAAGATTTCTGGATATACAGAATATGCAAGTGAAGATGAAATTATTTTACGAATGGGATCACGATTTCTTGTGAAGAGTGATGTTTTAAAGCAGTTGAACGGTTCATATCTCGTACATTTAATGGAACTTGGTGGCAATAACGATCAACCAGACTCAGACTCAAACCCAGATCCACCATCAGATACAAGTATCCCCAGTAAGTTAATTATGCTTCTTCTCCAGAAAATAATCTTCTGTATGATACATATGTGTAAAGTAATCATTAAAAACTATCCGAATATTAACTAATGTATATAAGATAAAGAAAGATATCAGACGTTTGTATCAACATATTGTATCGATGCAAAGTCTTCAATTTGACGAAAGAGATAGATCTAAGCAAGAAACCTCGTCAAATAAAAAAAAGAATATTTTATTATTCTTGATTAAGATTAGTTTTCATCAACCATTGACATCCAGAACAATGGTATCACACAGCTTTGACCAATTTAGCATCCCGCGATTGATCTGTTCTAGCCTGTAGACCCTATCAAGAAAATTTGGTTATGACGTTATGGATGTTGTCAAATCGAATAATTTAATCATTTCAAATTTGTATGAGTGTTGGTTTCTAAAATAGTTCGGCATCATCAGGCTGAGGATTCGGAGACCTTTGTTGATCATTATCTTCTATTATTTTCTTATACACGCATTCTCGCCCCTCAAGTTTTAATCTCTTTGGATTCTGTAGCTTTCTTGAACTCTACTAGTTTTGTCACTCTAACAAAATGTTCGCATTGTGACAAGCTCTAAATATAGAACTGCTGAAGTGATCTAGCAAAACCCATTTAAAATATTTTTCAAGCTAAGCATTGATATCTACAGTTCGATAGGATTCACAGAGCCTTCAAAATAGAAATATTATTGGAAACGTCGAATGATTATTGACCTATATGTAGAACCTGACTATAGATCGATACTTTATATTTAAGTATCATCATCCGAATAGTGCTGGAAGTAATTTTTATTAATAGTTTCCCTGTGTATAATAGTAACTCAAAGCTTGATATTATTTAGAGGGGTCTGATAAGCTGTTTTCAGAACATGAGACCAAGATCATAATATAAGTGAGACAAACTGAATGAGTACCACACACTAGCCTCAGAGCAGTTCATTTGAAAGAACATTTCAGAACAGTTAGTGCGCGCGTTAGGATATGCGTCGTTGTTCACGACAAGGTTCACGCTTATACTGGCAACCCTTGATAGATAGAATATTATTCACTGAGATTAAAGAAAGTCATCTGTCACTATCTTTTTATATTCAAGTTTGGAAAAATGCGTGGAAATTCCAGTTTTACGTAGGCTATCGATATTACAGTTCGTTTGAATCACATCATCTAAATCACACACTTAATAATAATAGTTTCCATAAGCTTATCAATCGTTGGGGCCAGCTGCGAAAGATCCATATGCAGCTCTGTTTTCTCGTCTTTTTCTTTTTATACACGACGGTATCTGGACCTTTTTTTATGCAACGCTTCCCTAATTTATGATTTTTGGTTCGCGGTGATCATAGAATCACATGATCGTAACATCTATGTTGGAGTTATTTTACTCTGCATACTGACTAACGATGTGGCCAACACGCTATTGAATGAATCATCCGAAACAACTAGCCATTTATGACTTGTTCAGGGTCATTCCATGGATGACGATACTGAGATTTGCACACAGTATTTTATGGATACATGTCGAACAACGTAATCACTCAACCATAGCGGCTCAAGTCATACATTAACGAATCTAATATCGTTGTCCGACTTTATTCAAATGATTTGAAATTGATACAGCATGCCTATAGTTTGGATATAAGATTAAAAATGTAAGATGTATCTATGAGAGATAATCTCAATGATACACTATAACTATAATGAGATGATGTTCTGAAGAAATCCTCTAATTTTCACCTTCAATACTTGACTAAATAATGAATTGTTAAGTGTTGGTGATAACGAATCTTGTAATCTAACACTAACATAAAACCATATTGAATCCAATTAAAAAGTTGCCCAACAATACCCAGTAAATTGTTTTAGTAAGTTCAAATATAGCGGGATTTTTGTTCAGTTCTCACTGTAATTTTTCTAAGGTGTACTCGATCTAACATCTATTAAAATTTAAATAACGCATGTGTTTCTCTATCATTAATTTTATGTCAAATGTAAAAAGCTTTTCAAAAATAATATATAATTTAAAATAAATGATTCAATCGATTGTGAAAGAAAGGTCAATGAATGAAAATGGTTTCAAAATACTATTTCTGATACACATATATGTCCTGCATTTTTGATGACTAATCAATTAGGTCATATTTTATTTTTCGCTCAAGATGTTTTTTTTACTTTCGTTCTGATATGCACTTGGCAATAACAATGAAAAATTTTCATTTATTCCACCCAATTAAGTGCCTCGAGCTACAGTTTAGATGAGTTTCATAGTTGTTTGAATCGTTCCGTTTCAAACTTGTTTTAATTGTAGCTTTGATAGATAGAGTCCTATTACAGGATAGAGTTATTTTCTGTAGAGTTATTCCTAATTCAAAAATCAAATTATGCGTTATGTGTGTTGTGAAAATGACATATAAAAAGATTTTTTTCATGAGTTTCGCGTTATTGCAGACTTGTGATTTGCATTCTTCGACACCATGAAATTCGACAGACACAAAAAATGTGTATAAATATCTGTATGTTGACGAACGTTATCTATATTATCATTTAAATTTTATTATAAGCCGTTGTTATCATTGTCGAAAAATGAAAAGTATCAATTACTCATTACGATAAAGAGTAAAAGGTTAGCAAAGTAAATTATGTAGTTATTAAGAGTATCCAACTATAGTTACTTATTCTCTTTTTCGTCCTTATTTCTATTGAAGTAGATAGAAAAAATTGAACTTTTCATTTTACACTGTACAATGACGAGAGAGACAAAAAGCTAATCTAATATTGCCAATTTATGTGAGAATAAAGAACTTCGATGAATCAAATTAACATTTGAACAATTTAGATCTTATCAAGACATTTATTTCAACTTATCGATCAATTAACATTTGCAAATTGCGCTTGCATATATATGAAGAAAAATAAAACAGACAATAAGTAGTCCAAAACCCATGTAAATATTTTTTTCCTCAAAACGCGTCTGAAACGCGTTTTATTTGCGTGCGAAACGCTGAGAGTGAACGCGTCTGAACGCGTCCCCAGTGAAACAAATGAAGCGTTTAGGCGCGATTTATTTAGAAACGCGTGTGAATGCGTTCGTCGTTTGACCTGCGTTCAGACGCGTTTTTTTACGAAAACGCGTCCAAACGCTTCAAATGTTTCATCTGTGACGCGTTTTCATTAAAAAACGCGTCTGACGTGTTTCATACAAAATCTAAAAATTTTGAAAAATATATGATAATCCATCTCAGATTCGAACTGAGTCGCCATCATCAACATTTTTCGATGGTCTTAGCCAACCTTGGCAAATGGATTAAATTTTACCTTAAGTGATGACGATCAGATTTGAACAGATGAACCAGCGATCAGAAGTCGTTCATACACACCACTGAGCTATACTAGCTCGAATTCTTTTCTCATTCAAACTAGAATATATTTGAACGCGAATTTCATCGGTTAAATACTATTTCAATAAGATGTACTTTTTTCGAAGTTAAGATATTTAACACAGAACATGTTTATTCACTTATTTTTTTAAATAATTTTATTATTTTTTAATAAAATAATATCTTTTTTTTTATCGTCTACTACACGTAATTAGTGTTTCGATTTTTTATTGTACTGATAACATGCTAAATAATTTTATCGAAGAAATTAATCAATAAATAATTATTCATACAATCTATTTATTGGGAATATATGATGAAAAGTTATTAATCATATTATTTAAATAGTAGCATTGAGAAGCTTGCTAGAAGGACATTGGATAGCTGAAAACTATTACAATATTGTCTCATTATTATTCATACAAACTATAGAGAAATATGGACTATTTGCCGTATCTTTAATTGAATTTTTGTCTATTTTAAGTTTAACATCATCTGGGCATTCTTTATTAAAAAGTCTAACGAAGTTTAGACGAATAAAATATATGTAAACCGATGATTTCGATCACGCCATTAACTCTTTTAGAGCAGTAATTTTTGAGATGGAATTGCGTCTGATACAAAAGAAATAAATGAGTACAAATGTGCTCGGAAATATGATTGCATGCCAACATGATTGAAAAAATATTTGAGACGCGTTTGAACGCAGTTAGTAAACAAAATGCATTTAAACGCGTTAAATGTTTTTCCAAAACGTGTTGAGACGCGGTTAATTTTTTTTCTGATTGCGTTTAAACGCATTGCATAGAAAATCTGCGTCCAGACGCGTTTCGAAATTTTTTCTAACCGCGTGTCAACGCGTCTCATATTACACCGCGTTTGAACGCGTTCAGTCAAATTTTTATTAAACTCGTATAAACGCGATTTCGATATGAAACGCGTTGAGAAGCTGTTAATATTTTTTTTACAATTGCGTTTCAACGCATTATGTACAAAAAGCGGCGTTCAAACGCGTTTCAAAATTTTTCTGACTGCATCCCAACGCGTTTAATATTGAAAATGCGTTTGAATGCGGCGTGAAACCGTTTTTAACCGCGTCTGGACGCGTTTTGTTGTGAAACCGCGTTTCAACGCATCGATTTTGCGTTTTGTGTTTACATGGGAAAGGATCTCATTCCACATGTATCAATAGACATTAACAAAAAAAAAGAAGGCAAACAAAGAATCACATAATTGTAGAAAGAATAGATATGAAGAGGAGGGGTATCATTCACAGATATCTTTGAGAAACTGAATAGACATTTTGTCGAGACAAAACGATCTAAACTATTAGTCGATAGACACATAGTCCCAAATGAGATATCTTGTCGATCATGAAAAAAAATTCATGGAACTTTTTCTATACTTATAGACTATATTACAATTAGAATTAAGTGCATCTAATAGAATTCCCAGTTAAAATATTGACAAAACATAAAATTTTGTACTACTACTTCTTATAAGACAATGCAAGTTGTTATTTCTACTTCTTTTTACTCAGGTTAGAGACAAACTTTCCTTTCGTTGTTCGTTTACAATAATATTCGATCTTTTCATTCGAACGAAGTTATACGTATATCTGAGGGTGTGGATGTAAGGGAACATTTCAAAACGTTTGCCGGTCGGCCGGTCACTCTGCCGTTCAGCTGCTCGGACGCTATACCGCTCTGTCGCTATGCCTCTCTGCCGTTCTCATACCGCTCTGCCGTTCAGCCGCTATGCCGCCCTGCCGTTCTCATGCCGCGGCATAACAGCACAACACATTTTTTGTTTTAATTACATTTTGATAGATTAATTGTATCCTTTGATGTATGTATACGTATACATCATGTATATTGTTCTATTTCTATTCAATGTTCTTTAGCTCTAGACTATTCATTTTCTCCAAAAATAATGAATATTTTAATTCGTGATAAGATTTTCGTTCAACTTGATCACGTTGTAAACATGATAATGATATTTGTCTCATTCTTTCTTGAGACCTTTTTGTTTTCTTTTTTTGAACATCAGCTATCTGTAGCCTCGTATAACAAAAATTCTTTAAAAAGTACTTGAAAATTTGATGAAACGTATTTTAAATGAATTAAGTTCATAGAGAATAGCTAGTGCCAAATTCAATATGTATTTAAACTGTAATTCATGAATAATAGTGAAAATAAAATAATATCCTTTCCTCTATATTTCTCTCTTTTTCAGCCATTTTGCTAGCAGCTGCCAGCAAAACGACTGAAAGGGAGGGAAAGATAAATGAAAAAAGTGACATCATTGACAACAAATAAACTAGTTTATGCTATTATTTTCTTATTTGAACTCAGATTCATCATTGTCTTCAACAATTTCTGGAGTTTCTTCGCGTATTTTTTTTCTTTATAAGTTATTAAAGTCAAATAAAGAGCCACAAAAAGTATGATTTTGTGAAATGAAAATGTGTAATAATTATTTTTCTTCTTTTGAAAATAGTTTCTTTTTGAAACCTAGATAAACTTATTCGTTTCATTGTTGAAATTATCATATTCCATTTCTATGTGATGAGAATTAAGTAACAATACATGTCTGTATATTCTTGTTACATACTTTCTCTTAATTGGCTTATCTTGGATATGCCTGTATGAAAATTCATCGATTTGATGTGTTCTGTTAAAGAAATGATCA